TAATATGAATAGCAGTAATGATAATAACGATAGTAACCTCCATTCGCAGTTATAACAATAACAGTCGATGCTGCGTTGGTGAAAAATTTAAATACAGGTAATGAAATGTCTGATTTTTCGATAGTTGGGACTGAGATCAAATGGGGAGAGTTGGATAATACTCAAGCATTGCTCGGAATTGCATTTCGGAAAACAATTGACAGTGGATTTGAGTTCTTTGATGTCTTCGACTTATTTTTCATCATTAGATTTCTACGTTTAACAAAACAGAGCGAGTGAATTGACAACCTTGAATAGAGGATGTGATTCGAAGTAGAATCCTCTTCCTTTTACAAACGGATACAAAATAACCTGGAAATATTGAGATTATTATTTAGTTGTTGGATTGATGTGCGCTGAAATCAGAAATGGTGATTGTTGTCATTATTGTTGTTCTTTAGCATCGACAATAAACTTACAATTAAGCTATACTAAGTTGTCGTTACGATCAAAGTATGTTATCGTTGAATGTATCCAAGCTAAACTTACTCCTTATTGAGTGTGAGCAATTTCAGGTTTTTGAAAAATGATTTTGACGGATATCAATCAATCACATGTATAATATCTTGGAAAGTACACTGTCAGAAAATGTTTCAGAATAGAGTGGTAACAAATGCAAATTAAGTAATGTTCTTGCTCAATAATGGCATGAAATCACCTGCTCTAAATACCAAGTATTAACTGTAGGTCGTGAAATCAGTTGTAACGTCTCATTGCTGATCAATGTTCCGTCAAGGACCAATGCGAAAAGTCTGGCGAAATTCTCCGCATTTCCAACACCTGTCACCGCGCCCATATTCAACGAAACGATATCCGGATCGTTCAACGCTACGGTGTCCTGAAATAGTGATCGAGCAAATAGACTCAAGCTGTAAAACTTCGATCAGTCTTNACCAATCTGTTTTTCACAGAAATCATTGGCGAAAACCTTTTTTTGTGAGTAATAACTAGATAGAATGACATTCTTGGTATCATTGAAACTTTAGTTATTATAAGTGCCGTGGAAATTATCAATGTGCTGATAATGTTATTATTTTTAGCATGTTATTTATTTGATATCATTATAATTGTTATGACCACTCTTGGTTGCATTTGCGATCATCTAATAATAAGTACTGCTGCTACGTACACGCTCTTTATCGAATTAGTAAATTCGCATCCGAAAGAGATAACTAACATAATTCAGTGGAATCCACGAAGGATTCATGCGAAGTTTGGCGGCGATTGAATTCGGCATGCGTAAGTACATCAGCGCAAGCATCGCCAGCATCCGCGGATCAGCCACAGTATCACGTGCGTACTCCACGAGTCCTGGCTGTGTGCTTCGAGCCAAGTTCGCGAACTCGTCTCTGGGTAAGCCGATGCTGATATCGATGCCTGAACGAGAGTGACGGTTGAACTTATCATCATAACTTTCTGGTTATTTCTAAGTAGCTTCAATCGTTACGAATGCTTTGGGTATTCAATATTAATCAGTAATAGACTCAACAGAATTGTTCATACCATATTTTTGCGAAACTTCCTCACGAAAGAACGTCTTCACATCACGATGTTTCACATCCGCCTTCCTGACGATTCCATCTACGAGCCATCCAAACGTAATCGCATGGTAGCTGAAAATGCTGATATGCCCCATTTTCCTCGTAAATTCAAAACCATAGCACATCCTTTCTATATCATATATCATTCATGATGGCAAGGGAAATTTTCTGCTGATTGAATAACTCGCCACTGGCGTGATTGATCTGCAAAGACTGAGAAAATACGATTTGATAGAGATGATGGTTTATCAATTGAAGTTTATCACACCAGAGCGATTTATGCTTATTTCACTTATGCTTATTTCACTTCCTTAAAGGAAAATATATTTTTACAGAGAATGCAAGGTCAATTTCATAGAGTCTGAATTTTGGTAAAGACAAGGTGGAGTGGATTTCAGAAACATCTGCTGAATTCGTCAACACTATCACTGACCCCGATAGAGTGCCGGGTTTCCAGAGAGGTTTCGCACGCTCAATTTTTTGCATCATTATCTCATTATCATGCACGTCGTCCATTGTGATATCTTCAAGGTACGGAATACCTGCCTGAAAGATTTTTCAGCCGCTTAACCACTGAACTCAATGGACTTCATCATCAAACTCGATATTCCAGCAGTTTTTAGAATCGCCAAAATATCGACCGCTTTCTTTTCCTTTCCTAGCTTCAAGTGATCAAGAAATCACTCATTATATTTGTTTGTTACAATCAGTCACTGCTGAGTATTCAATACGATCAAACGACTCATTGCTGAACGAAATATTACGAATACCTTATGAGTGAGAACATCCTCAATTGTTGTATTTTCTTTGCCGTACTGGCCATATTCCGGCCAATACTTAATCACCAAATCATCATACGATAAACGACCTCTATCAACTAGCATTGCAATGCACAGCGATGATATTGCCTGAAAATTGGTGACGTTGCCGAATGGAGTAAGCATATGGATCGAAAAGATAGAAATTCGATTTTAAGAAATAATGAGCATCCCAAGAAGCTCTCAATGCTACCAATCAAATTCACCTTGGTGGCTGAAAAGAAGACGCTTTTCGTTCTGCTGTTCCACTTGCGTTGGGACTGCGAATCTGCGAATCCATTCCAAACGTTTACGACCTGCCTGCCGTTATGGTAGACGGTAAGATGAGCGCCTTCTCGCTCGAAACCACCTTCAAAATTCTTCCTGAAAATCACCGAAGTAAAAATTTGTCAGTTTTCTCTTGATTCAGTGGATCAAATGAATTGATCAATCGTTAAAGTTACATTCTGAATAACATAATGAGTGAACATGAGGCAATCGATTAGGGTTATTGATTTCGAATGAATTTTCTTTTGTTTACACTGAAATGACAAAAAATTACTCTTCTGTTGTATAAAGTGAGTTTTGAATCATTCTTCTATGCAGCTTTCGTTTGTATAAAGTGAGTTGGTGATATGAAACCTCACAGTAATATCAAATTACTAGTGAGCACTATTTCAGCTTGATGATTCGATCGTAATCTACTGTACATCGTAAATTATCACTGCTCTCATATTGAGGCATGGTGCGATACTTCGCGTAGTTGAAGGCATTTCTTACTGCTCGCATGTCTCTTGTATCCGTAGAAAACGATAAATTTCACTGACTTCATTGAATTACCTGAAAGCTTCCACAACCATTTCATATTGTGGATCATAGATGCCTTTTGGTGGTTCGTTGAGTCGATAGAAGAGTGACATTATCCAATGCAGGGTCGAATAGGCGATTAAATATACGACACAAATCAATATCAGCGTTTTTTTAGTTGAGCTGCTCAATGAAATTTTCATTTTCTTTTATTCACACTGAAATTACAAACACAAAATTACTCTCCTGTTGTATAGATGAGTCTTGAATTACTCTTCTTTCGTTCGTATAAAATGAGTTTCAAAAGTGGTGTGATAAGATGTGCTGTCAACAACGAAACAAATGTGCTTATTTGCTGGCATGAAAAGAGTGCGATGACTCATGTGACCAGGGCACAACATTCGGAAACGAAATGATAATGAGAGAGACAAAAGAAACTGATAAT